ATAGAGAGTTAGAAACATCAATGAGAGAGAAACATCGATGAGAGAGAAACATCAACCAGCCGCCTCCAGCACACCCGCCCCTGGGGATGTGCCCGCAACCAAGGTACATGCCGTTAACTGGAATTGAACCTGGGAGTCCCCCAGTCCGCAGGCCGACACTCTAGCCACTGAGCCAAACTGGTCAGGGCCATATATTTGTGTTTATTCATAAGATGTGTCTGTGCCGCTGACACCATTTCTAAACTCACCCCCAGGACCAGGACTGTATTTCACAGAAAGCAATGTGCTCGCCACAGACGCCCAGCAGACTAGACTTTGACATAGAAAAGTATTTTTTGTGACGACTGGTAGGTTTACAACCATTAAGATAATCCTAGCGGCGGGAAATGCGAGGCGCACTGCGGAGGTTCACAGTGCGTGTGGAATTCATACCCTCCCTCCGCACACAGCGCAGAGCAGAGCTTTGTCATCACTGCTGAGCGGCTATTCTTCCTTGTTGGCTGTGCTCTGGGACACAAAGTCTGGCTTTACGTTGGGATTAGCAGGTGCCGGTAGCATTAGCTTCTCAGCCGCATCTGCGCTGCAGAACAACAGTGAGTGAAGGGTGAGGCTCGCAGGCGCTCACCTCTGACAGGCATTGCAGTCGGCTATCACAGGCCGCTGTTGTGCAACAGAAACTCCAGCGTGTCCTGACCTGTCCTAGGGCATTGCTTCACGAAGGAAAATAAACGCGCTGAAATATTTGTGAAATTCAATAAAAAGCTTTCCCAGCACTCGTTTCTAATGCGTGCGAGGGTGCGAGGACAATTCGTCATAGCCTCGTGGTCTTTCAGAAAATGTAACCGTGTGGTTTTTCACTTTTGTAACGAAATGAATCTGTACCACTCAAGCCCAGTGTGTCATGTTTTCTGTATGGATGTACCCTTTGTTTTTTTGTTACATTTTTTTAATCCTCACCTGAGGATATTTTCCCACTGATTTTTAGAGAGAGTGGAAGAGAAAGGGAAAGACAGAGAGAAACATCCATGTGAGAGGAACATGGATTGGTTGCCTCCTGCACGAGGCCGCACCAGGGCCCAGCTGGGGAGGAGCCTGCAACCGAGGTACGTGCCCTTGACCGGAATGGAACCCGGGACCGACGGTCCGCAGGCCCACACTCTAACCACTGAGCCAAACCGGCTAGGGCTGTATGTACCCTGTAGACTCATCTTCAGCCTCAGCTGGTTAGAGTCCACAGTCCCTCCTGCCTGTCCCCTTGGTTTTCAGGAAAAAGGGGGGAGGTTCTCACGTTCAAATGACAGTTTATGTAATCGACAGGCAGCTTTTCCTCATCGCATGCTGTGCCTTTGCTCGCAGAAGTGCGTTCACTCTTCCACAGTGTGTTGAAACTTTTAAATGGAAACGCTTTTCGCTAACAAAGGACGCATTTTCTCCCTCCTTCCATGCCTCCGCGTTCTCCCAGGCCTGGCTCCCCGGCAGCTGTGCCTCCACCAGCAATGACAAAAGGTGCGATTGTTCTGGCGCTGGCGGCGGAGCTGGTGCGGAGTGTGTGTGTGGGCTGCTGGGACTGTTTTCCTTCTGTGTTTGGTTTTAGTTTGTTTTTGTTATTCCAGCAAGCCGAGCACACCTTAAAAAACAAGCCGGAAAAAGAGAGCTCTTTAAAGACCCTAAACCTTCATCCCCGTGGACTGTTCTTTCCATTAAGCTGCTCTGTTCGGATTTAAGTGGGCCCCTCTGTCCCGGTAAAAACAGCTGACAAGGCCCCCTCAGACCCGGGCCTGCATAGCGTGCGGAGATGGGGGTTTGTTTTCCTTTCGGCGGAGAGCGAAGCGCAGGGGGGGCAGGTGTGCTAATTACGTTTGGTATTTTTCTTTGTGATTCCCAACTCCAGGTCGGTAGCCGTTCTTTCTGTCTTTTTTGTTTTTGTTTTTGACTTAATCTGAAGACAACCTCCTTCTTTATCTGCCTTTGCCTCATCTGCTGTTTTATTTTTGACTCGAGTTTCTGGAGTATGGTACTGATTCGAAGCATCATTTTCTTCCAGCAAAAATCTTATAGTTGTTCTGGTGGAAAGAACTGAACATCTGGTCTCTTTCGGGGACACCCGGCCTGTGCAGGCCCGAATACCCAGTCACTGCTGGCGCCGAGGCTGGCCGGACACCGGTCTCTACCACACATGCCGCCTTTCCTGCCACTGGTGCTGCTTCTGTCTTTTTAGCCTTGATTTGCTTCATTTTTGTATGTTCTCAACCCACAGACCAATTTCTAAACAGATCCTTTGGAGCAGGCCTCTGCTGTGGTCCCTGCAGTGTCTCCCAGTCCTCGAGGAGGCCGTCCTGCCGTCACCCCTCCCGCTCTGCGGGGGGGGGGGGGGGGCTAGGAGTCCCCCCAGCACTGCTCCAGGATTTTGAATGTTGATCAACAACATTCTGATCTCTGTGAATGAGTAAGAAGAAAAGGTGTCACTGGTTCAGCCAGCCCCACCGAGGGCACGGCACGCTGCCAGGATGACTCACTCCGCCCGGAGCAGTCTCGCCCAGGTGAAACTGGGTCCCTGCTGACGGACTGACGGGGAGAGGCCCGGAGGCCGTCAGTCACTTCCAGGATGAGTTTCAGGACAATCTCCCATGTGCTCATGTGTGGCTCTGTAGGCCACACTAGCTCCGGGGGTAGTTTGTGCAGCCTGTTAGGGTGACACTCGGACAGGCTGGAGGTCCTCCTGGGAGGAATCGAGGTGAGTGTCAGCGTAGCAGGTGTTCTCGCCCCCACACCTCCCTCCTGCCAGGCCCAGGAGGAGAAACCAGCTGATGGTTCCTTTCCTCCCGGCCTCCCACAGCATCGCACCCACCCCTGGAATGTGTGGGCGCAGCTCTGTCGTCAGGCTTGTGGGTAAACCATGAGAGGGTCTGTCTCCTCAGGCGGCAGGGACAAGGTTGGGAAACACTGTGCTTCATTTCACTTCGTTTATTTTGCGTGAGAATATCCTGGAGAGCTTGTCTAAACCCCGATTCTTAGACCCACTGTCAGGTTCTGCAGTAAGCCTGGTGTGGGGTCTAGGAATGTGTATTTGATTTTCTCTTGAATTTTCAGAGAGAGTGGGAGGGAGGGAGGGAGGGAGGGAGGGAGGGAGGTAAGGGAGAGAGAGAGAAACAGCTATTGGTTGCCTCCCACACCTGCCCCAACCAGGGCCAGGGATTGAACCTGCAACCCAGGTGCATGCCCTTGGCCAGGAATCGAACCCGCGACCCTTCTGTCCGAGGGCTGACACTCTAACCACTGACCAACCCCAGCCAGGACGGAAGGCGCCTTTTTAACAAGCATCTTGCAAAGGATTCTGACAGAGAGGGTGCTTTGAGCAGGATAGACCAGTCTTATCTCTCTGCCTCTTATCTTTCCAGCTCGTTCCACAAAATATTTGAGGTAGAATTAGACTAATTAGCAGATAACCAAAGTCCACTATAGAACAGATGCCATTCTACCTTGTTATCCCGGAATTCTGGTCGGCCTCTCATTCTTCTTAATCCATCAGAGATTCCCAGTGAAAATGTGGTGTGACTACCTGGCAGCTTCTAGGAGGCCCTTCCCTTTCGTGGTCTATGCCCGAACACATGTTCTAAAAGTCAAAATAAGATCATTCTAACGCAGTCATTAAGCGTTTGCTGTAATTATCGTGATAGTTTTCCATGTGTTAGAATCTTGTCAGAATTAGAGCCTCACTCGCCTCCCTGGGCAAGGCCAGTGGGACAGAAGCAAACACGGTTCACTGTGGGCTGAGCCTCTAGAACAGCGCTGCGGACGGTGCTCTCGGCCTCTGCCAAGTTAGGTCCCTGCTGAGCGCGCAGGGCCGGCCCCCATCGGCCTGGCTCAGCGGGAATCGGAGCCGATGTGCAGGGACAGTTGGGCCACCATTTCAAGTGATATCGGAGGCCGGAGGTGGCTGGTCCTCCTGGTGACTCCCTGGGACCGAAGGGGCGGGGCTTCCCTCAGCTGAGGCACTAGATCTGCCAGCTTCGTCCTGAGCGCCCAGTGTCCCCGGCACGGCCTCTGAGCAGAGAACCCTGAGCAGGAGGCCTGGCGCGCGTGCGCACTGCTTGTGCTCAGCGTGTTTGGTCTTGTGGGCAAGGCACTCGCTATACCTGATGCTGTATGTGTAATAGTTACAGTTTAATCATTGACTCCCCCCAGATGTATGCCTCTCTTGCTAAGATGTTTGTAGAATTTATGTACTTTGCATTTTTTACATCTTTAGCTTATAATTTTCCTTTAGGTGATGTTTAGCTTCCTTTTTTATACTTTCTTAAAATTGTGGTAAAATATACATGACATAGCAAACCATGTTGAAGTGTGCGGTTCAGTAGCATTAAATGCATTTACGTTGCGCCATCACCACCGTCCGCCTGCAGGCCTCCCCATCTTCCCAACGGGAGGCTCACGGTGCACCATGTCGGTCGCGTTCCTGTTTAAGGCCGACGCATAGGCTGTGGCATGGACAGGCCCGTCTGGGGGGCCAGTCATTCCTGGACACTTCGCTGTTCACCTTTTGGCTCTCACGAGTCATGCTGCTGTGAACATGGGGTCCAGCATCCGTGTGAGTCCCATGGAAGCACGTGAATGGGATGTAACGTGACCTCCATGTGTTAGCTGTGAGCTGGAAGGGAAGTGAGGCGGTGCCTGCGTTAGAGCGGGCCTGACCTCACTCACTCCACAGGGTCCGACCCGCAGCGTCGTCTGCGCCCCGATTCTTCTGTGATTGGCAGGAAGTTAGGCTTTCGCCACATCGCCCAGGAAGAGCCTTATGAGCCAAATCGAACCTCAGTGCCCTTTTTATTCAGTGTTACTCCCGTCTAAAGTGCTGAGCGAGGACAGTGGGATGTGTGCGTGTTCTCCCGCGTGCTTTCCCCCACATCCCCAGCCTCGCTCAGTGAGGACACGAGACTTTAGGTCAGAAGACGCTGTAACACTCACTCACGTGCGGAAACTGCTGCTGGACTTTGTTTCAGTCGTGGCCCAGCTACGAGGACGTCTACAGGCAGATGATTGACGTCGCCACCTTCCTGGACCTGCCTCGCTTCCCGGCCATCACGGAGGACTGCTACCTCCACCCGAACATCCTGTGTCGGAAGTACCTGATGGAAGTCAACCTTCCCGGTAAGAAAGGGTATCGGTGGTGAGAAGCTTCTAGAACCCTGGTGAGCACAATGGGGCGTCCTCGCAGGTCCCAGACCAGCAGCACCACCCGGCAGGGCCGTCGCAACAGGAACTTCATTTCACAGCCCTTCCCAGGGCATCCCAGGCCACCTGGCCCAGCGGCAGAGCGCTGCTCGGGAGTGAAGAGCTCTGCGGGGCGAGGCTGTGCTGAGAGCACACAGTGGGTTGACAGTTCGCTGTGTGCAGGTAACGGGACAGACACTTCCGGCGTGTTACCCGTGCCCGCTGCCCCCAGAGCAGCACTTCTTCATGTGCATGAAGCAGGATTATTGCATAAGGAACCCTAATTTAAAAAAACCCAGAAGCTGATTTTTATTAGACGACATGTTTATGGTTTGGAAACCTAATGCTACTTCCCGTCCCTAAAACAAGTGGCTGGCACGTGAGCTCGGGAGGCAGCCACACCGGACGCAGGGCCGCGTAGACGCGCTCACCGCCGGCACAGGCTGCCCACAGAGTCCTTGAATTTCTGGCTGAACCAGAAATGCAAGTTCAGGACTTTTATTTTTAGGAGAAAATGTAAACGTGGGGTGACTCTACTATTGCTTAGAGTATCAAAGTTGTGACCGAGTATATATATTTTTTTTTTCATTGAAAGCAGGGATTTATTTTTATTTTATTTATTTTTATATTAATGACTATTTTGTGTTCAAATATTAAGATTTACATGACTTCTGCTTATTTGTCATTTTTTTTTAATTTTTTTTATTTTTAATATATTTTTTATTGATTAAGATATTACATATGTGTCCTTGTCCCCACGTTACCCTCTACCCTCCCCCCCCCCGCTCACGCCCTCACCCCCCCGTTGTCCATGTCCATTGATTAGGCCTATATGCTTGCATATAAGTCCTTTGGTTGATCTTTCCCCCTTACCCCCACCCTCCCCTACCTTCCCTCCAAGTCCCGACAGTCCAATCAATGCCTCTCCGTCTCTGGATCAGTCCTTGTTCATCAGTTTATGTTGTTCATTATATTCCATAAATGAGTGAGATCATGTGGTATTTATCCGCTCTCCAGTTCCATCCATGCTGTGGCAAATGGTAAGAGTTCCTTTTTCTTCTTCCTCTTCTTAAAGAATACCTTTCAGCATTTCATATAATGCTGGTTTGGTGGTGATGAACTCCTTTAGCTTTTTCTTATCCGTGAAGCTCTTTATCTGACCTTCAATTCTGAATGATAGCTTTGCTGGATAAAGTAATCTTGGTTGCAGGTTCTTGCTATTCATCACTTTGAATATTTCTTGCCAGTCTCTTCTGGCCTGCATGGTTTCTGTTGAGAAATCAGCTGACAGTCGTATGGGTACTCCCTTGTAGGTAACTGACTGTTTCTCTTGCTGCTTTTAAGATTCTCTCTTTATCTTTTGCTCTTGGCATTTTAATTATGATGTGTCTTGGTGTGGTCCTCTTTGGATTCCTTTTGTTTGGGGTTCTCTGCGCTTCCTGGACTTGTAAGTCCATTTCTTTCACCAGGTAGGGGAAGTTTTCTGTCATTATTTCTTCAAAAAGGTTTTCAATATCTTGCCCTCTCTCTCCTTCTGGTACCCCTATAATTCTGATGTTGGTACGCTTGAAGTTGTCCCAGAGGTTCCTTACACTCTCTTCATATTTTTGGAATCTCTTTTCTTTTTTCTTTTTCGGTTGGGTATTTTTTGTTTCTTTGTATTTCAAATCTTTGACTTGATTCTTGGGATCCTCTTGTCTGCTGCTGGATCTCTGTAAATTATTCTTTATTTCAGTCAGTGTATGCTTAATTTCTAGTTGGTCCTTTTTCATGTCCTCCATGGTCTCACTATACTTATTGAGGGATTCATTAAATTTATCGGCGATTTCCATAAAATTCTTGAAAACCTTATAAACGTGGCCTTGAACTCTATATCCAGTCGTTTGCTTTCCTCCATTTCTGCCATTTGTGACCTGTTTCTTTGTCTCCGCATTTTGGCAGCTTCCCTGTGTTGATAGAGTGGCCCTGCGCGCCAGGTGTCCTGTAGGGCCCAGTAGCTCAGCCTCCCCAGATACCTGGGGTGGACACTCTTGGTGCACTCTTGGTGCCTTGGTTGTTGTAGGATCACTGGGAGGAATTGACCTCCAGGCCAATTGGCTGTGAGAATCAGCTGTGTCTAAAGTGGGAGAACTTCTGTGCTGAAGACACCCTTCTGGGGCAAGACTTGCTTCAGTGGGGCTTTGGTGCTCACTGAGTCTGCTCCCTGAGTGTGTCCCTTATGGATCTGAGGAGTTGCAGTCTGGATGGTCCCCCTCTGACCACTGGGTACAGTGGCTCCTGGATCTAAGGAGGTGCTAATTCAGCCTCTGCCTGAGGCCACACAGCAGGAGCCACGAAGAGGCTCAGCTGTGAAGCAATGCAAGCCGCTGCGGGGCCTTGGGCCTTCTCTTGGAAGTTCCGGGTCTGCCTGGCTAGGCTGCAGTTAGGTACATTCACATGCAAAAGCCTCTGCCGCAGCCTGGGTGGGGCGGGGTCTCAGGGAATCAAAGGGCGGATCAAGGAGCTATGGCTGATTCTCCACCCGGAGTCGCGGGTCTCAGTGACCCGCTAATTGCTGCAAGCACCTCTGAGGGAAAGCCGCCTTCAAGTTCGCCCGCTGCCGGACAGACCAGCTTCTCCCCGTATGAGTCCTGGGTCCCCAGAGACTTCCCGGAACCGGAGTTCAGAGCAGTCGGGAGCTTGTGATTCAAAAAGACAGCCGCGTCCTCAGGTGCCACCCCCTTTACTCGCGCGCGCGCCTGCGACGCGCGCCTGCGAGCCGGCCGTACCTCTGCACTTGTACCTCTGCACTTCACCTCTGCAGCTCCTCTGGCTCTCAGCGTGCTTTTCTTTCCTTCTAGTTGTAGAATTTACACTCAGCCAGCCTTCCTGTTGTTCTGGATGATGTTTGCTCTGTCCTTTGCGGTAATTTTCAATTGTTGTGTGAGGCGGCAATTTCCCGGTGTTTACCTATGCCGCCATCTTAGTTTCTCGACCGAGTATATTTTTAATAGACAAGGAAAAGAAATATATGAGAAAAGCAGCTTGTGAAACTGTGTACAGTATTTTAATTATAATTTAAATATATTAGTAACATATACACAAGTATAAACATTAAGTCTGTAATTTAAAAATATTTTTAAAGGAACAAAAATAATTTAAGCTTTTTGTGTTACAATAAAATGTTTGTGATACAATAAAAAAGTGAAATGACCCAAATTACAAAATTATATATAACATCACTACAGCTACATAACATGAAAGTATTCATAAAAATATTAGGAGTAAATGTGCCAACTATTCTAGGTTATGGTTATGCGTTTTCCTTCCTTCTCCCTTCCCGTGTCTTATGAATGTCCTGTGCTGAGGCTGTATTAATAGTAGTGGGGGAACAACAAACAGATGGCCTGCAGATTAAGATGTGCTCCCCCTGCGCCTCGGGGGTTAGAGTCTGAACTGTGGCCTTGGTTTGCACACCACCCATAGGATTGTAGGGAGACTCTAGGATGTTGGCGGCCCTCTCGCGGGTGCCCAGGAGCTGAGCGCAGTGGTCAGCTCGCTGCCAGCAGTGCCCGCCCAGAGCCCGCCCGTGTGACCCGTGGTCTCGGAGCAGCAGGGAGGTGTCCTCCAGCGCACACGCCCTGCTGAGTCAGCACTGGCTCTGCCGGCTCTGAATGAGCTCCCACCCCATTTTCTGGTCTTGTTCCTCATACCGGGCTGGGTGCCGCTCCAGAGAATTCCTGGCAGCTTTCACCGTTGTGTGTGTATTTTGTGGGGAACTTGAGCGTTTCCCGTACTGCACGTGCAGTGCCTCAGTAACGTGAGAGCTAGCGAGGCTCTGGGCCTGGCTGGCGGGTGGCAGAGGACACACTGGCACCCAGTCTTCACGTCCCAGAGCCAGTGTCCACCACGCTGTGCTCTGGGTCAGAGCCCGCATGCCTCAGTTTCCCCCACTCTTCCTTTCCCATGATTTCTTCCATTTTCTTTCTTTTTTTTTTTTAATCTTCACCCAAGGATATTTGTTTTCCTTTGATTTTCAGAGAGAGTGGAAAGGAGGAGGGGAGGAAGAGGGGGAGAGAGAGAGAGAGACATTGATGTGAGAGAGACACGTCGAATGGTTGCCTCCTGCATGTGCCCCAACCCGGGGCTGGGCACTGAACCTGCAATCAGGCACGTGCCCTTGACCTGGAATCAGACCCGAGACCCTTGGGTGCACAGGCTGACGCCCCAGCCCTGAGCCCTGCTGGCCAGGGCCCATTTGCCTTCTTATTACTCTGTACTTTTGGTAAGAGAAGCAGTTGAAGATATTAATTTAAAATAAAGTAAATAGTTTTCAAGAAATGTCATTCTTTATAATAATAACATGGTTCCCGTTTCTAAATTATGTGAGAAGAGACTGTGCCTCTATAACCTAGGCATGTGCCCTGACTGGGAATCAAACCGTGACCTCCTGGCCCAGAGGTCAATGCGCAACCACTGAGCCACACTGGCCGGGCAGCACGGTGTTTGGAGATAAAGCTCGTTGTCTAGACACACACGTTAGTGTTTTTGTTATTCCTATTGCACTGTCTTTCCTTCCACAGACGAAATGTACGATTTCACCTGCCAGGTGGTGAAGATGGCTGGCATTGGAGAGGTGGACTTCCTGACATTCGACCCCATAGCCAGGAAGGGAAGGACTGTGAAGTACGACGTGCAGGCAGTGGCCGTCATTGTGACAGTGTTGAAGCTGCTCTTCTTGTTGGATGACAACGTAGAATGGTGAGTGTGTCGGTTGGTCGGGGAAACTGCTGTTGTACCTCATCGGAGTGAACGCCATGCGCTCCCCGTGGAGAGCGAGCTCGGCGGCCCTGGGCAAGGGCGGCAGCAGCACTTCCTCCTGACGCCGGAGGGACGCGGCGGTTGGCAGGTGTCATCCTGACTTCGTGCGTGTGTGTTTTTAGTACGTTTTTTGTATCGTGTTTTATTTCTAGTTTCTGGGTAGATACACGTTTCTCATTGTTCCACTGGCTCCTGAGTCCTAGAGAATCATTCCCCCTCCATCTGCATGCCTGCGGCTCCTGGCACCGTGCGTCTCAGATCCTTTGGGGAAGTAAAGGAACTGTAAAATGAGACCCTCCCGGAGACCAGCAGGGAGTGGCAGCATTTGTGGTGTCCTCCTCCCTGTGTCAGGGAGGGCTTCTCCACTGAAGTCGCCTCAGTGTCAAGGACTGCGTGTACTTTTCTTTCCGAAGAATTCAAAATTTCACTCTTCGGATGAGGGATTTCTACATAAATTGACTTGTCTGTTGGTGTCTCCAGGTCTTTGTCTGCTATTGCTGAGACATACAATGAAGAGAACAAAGAAGGTACTTGCTTTTTTTATCAGTCACATTCAAAGATAAGCAGCGGGTTAAAAGATCAATAAATGTGGGGATTTCTTGTACCGGATTCTGTTTTCACAGTTATCTGGTTATAGCTCTCGGCTACCGAGAACGTCCGTGCCCTCCTACTGTGTGCAAAGGCCAGCTCGCAGCCACGCCAGGCAGTGACCTCCGGGCAGTGTTATGGCTGAGCCGCTGTTCCGATGCCTTCAGCCTTTGCTCACCCTGGTTCTCCTACCTAACTGCTCTTCCCTTTTCCCCCTTGTCCCCCCAGGCTCCCCAGCCCCCCCAGCCCTGGCAAGTCCCTCTGCACTCTTCAAGGTGCACTGTAACACTGTCTCTTCTCACCTGCTCCCCATCCCCTTTTCCAAATCAGGACTAATCGCTCCTGCCACAGCCACTCCCGCCCAACTTCCATTAGATGTTTAGCCCATTGAATGGACTGAGCATGTCTGTCCCTAGTAGATTGTCCGTATTTGTAAAGTGCGTGGAAGCCCGTTTGACTTATAATAGGTACTACATACATCACAGCAGACAAGTAGGTGGGGAGCGGCGAGAGGGCGGGGCCATCTCCCTCCTACTGTTTGAGAAGAAACGGATCTGTGCTCCCTCCATGGTGACTGGCCAGAGAGACTCAGTAACATGTGATAAATACGCGAACTCTTACACGCAATTCCAGCTTCTCAGTGTCCTCACTAGGATTCATGTGGGTTGTCCTTCCTGAATTCTCAGTTTTATTGAGGAATAGCTGACATATAAGACATTGAAAGTGTACATTTGTGCTTTGATGCATGTCCATGTCAAAGGCTTCCTGCCATCCAGTCAGCTAACACACTCATGCCCGCACGTATGTAACGTGTGTGTGTGTGAAAACATTGAAGTTTAACTTTCTTAGCAAATGTCAACTATACTGTACAGTGTTATCAACTGCAGTCACTGCCTTTCTGTCGTCGGATCCTCAGACCTTGTTCATGTTAGAGCTGAAAGTCTGTGCCTGTGGCCAGCTGTCCCGACCCCCCGCCCCAGCCCCGGCGACCACATCTCTCTCCCTACAAGCTTCACTTCCTAAGGTTCCACGTGCGTGGCCCTTGGTGTGTGTGACTCCAGAGCACACGCAAGTGCTTCACTCAGCGGCCGCCTCACGTTGGTCCCGCACAGAGTGAGGGTGGCCGTGGCCAGGCCGGCTCCTGGCGCCCTCCCGGCTGCAGGGCCGCCCCAGCCTGTGGAGCCGTGTGGAGCAGGCGGAGCACTCGGACATGTTACCTCCTCTGACCCTGAGCCTGAGCTGACAGCGGGCAGGGTCGTCTCCATTCTTCTGCTCTGGTGCCCACCGTCCCTACGTCATCAGTGAACTTGTCCTTAGAGAAGCTGTGACTGCTTAGGGTCAAAGGGCCTGGTGTTCTGTTGGCAGGTGTCCCTCTGTCTGTAGCTCTTTGCTAGTTGCCGCTCCCCGGTGGCTCTGTGGGATTGAGAGATGACCATTTAGGCCGGTTGAAAAGAATTGTAACTAGACCTGGAGGGAGACTGTCTTCATGAGAGAACATGGAAAACTAGACGTACGCAGCCTCTTCCTCCTCCTGTCAGCCTTCCTTCCCTCTAACTCCCTCACGCGGATCCTCTTTTCTGCTTTTCCTTTCATTTCCCCTCCCTGCTCGTCCCACCCCCAGGTAGAGTGAATAGAGAGCGCTGGGTGGCTGAGCTGGACTCCATGCAGCCCGATAGCTCTAACCTTGACATCCAGAACACGCCAGCTGTGCGGGGCGGTCCGCTTGCCCACTTACCCCGAAGCTCTGGGTTTGGAATCGGAGTAGGAAGAACAGGAGTGGGAGCTGATGAAACCGGAGGCTCTGGATTCAGCTGCTGTCGTGCCCGTCCACACATGGAGCGGCCATCAGTCCCTTCCTCGTGTGGCCTCCGACACAGGGCAGCTGTGTGCCAGGCCCTGCTGGGCGCTGGGCTGGGAGGAAGAGGCCTGGTGGGTAGTGGAAACAGAATATGTCTTGTGTCCTCAGGGAGGTGGGAGTCCAATCTACGAGAAACAGACACACAAAAGGCAGCTTCCATGGCATCTAGTTGGGGCTGCGACATCGGTAGAAACTCAGAGGAGGAGTGACTATTGCTCAGGACTCGAGTAGAATCCAGAAAATGGACTCCATCCGTCATTTCCAAGAGCTGTTGTATAGATGTTTAATTATGTCAGCGAATGGAGATTCAGATGAATAATGTATATTATTATAATGTGACTAATTTGATTATCATGCTTTTTTTTTTTTTTTCAGATAAGCCATGTTTTGATTTCAGAAAATGGTACCAAGTTATGAAGAAGTCTTTTGATGAGAAAAAACAAAAATGGGAGGAAGCCAGGGCAAAGTACGTCATCTCTGCTAGTTTTAGATTCACCTACTTCTTTCCAAGTCTGTTACTTACATTTGGAAGATGAAGGGTCATCAGTATAGATTCATCAGCATTGTCACGCTTCTGTTCTGGAAATATTAGCTGCTATTTTCTAATAACTTTTTTCTTTAATTGGAAAGTTCTCCCAAAATAGAGATCCCTCCAAAAGACAACAAAGGGAAGCCGAAGGGCCTCTGCTTCGGGCTGTCTCCCTGGCGTTGAACTCTGTGCCGAGGAGGGTCCCTGTGGTGAAGGGGAGAGAGCCCGCCGCACGGGGCCCTGCCTGTGGGCAGCCTCGCTCTGTGCCCGCGGGCAAGTTTCTGAACCCCGTGGCCTCCGTGCACGGGGATTGAGTTTGCTCGTACATGTACCTCTGTTTCTGACTCTCTATTCCTCATCAGCTTTTTTTGGTAGAAAATCCACAGATATTTCTTGAGTGTCTACTAGCCAGACACTTCGTCAGCCTGGGTAGGAACTGCTTCCTACAACGGTGCAGGGTTACAGCACGGCCTTGGTTTTTCCTCACAACAGCCCGTGAAGGTGGGCAGACTTGGAGATGTTGAGTCTCTTGGTTTGTTCATTTACCCGTCCAGTCATTCCTCACCAGACACTTAAATGAGTCCTCACCACGCGCCGTTCCCGCCAGCCTGGGGGCCCGGGAAGGAGACGGGCTCTGCCTTTGGAACTCCAGCATCTGTCACATGTGACGCCTGCGGTCACGCGTGGAGGTGGCAGAGCCCGGCCCCTGCCTGCTGCCACGCTGTCTCAGAGGAAGAGCGTGGCCTGGGCGCGAAGGAGGCAGGTCTCTTCCTGCTGTGAATCGGGAGACCCGTCCACCGTAGGGAAGAGCTCGGAATGGAGCCTGTCGCCCCTGCCTCCTGCCTGGGCTGCCCCCCACCCGGGAGGGCCCACACGCCCTGGGTCTCTGCTCTGGAGGGGACGCTGTGTGTATTTGGGGGAGCACTGCGGTACCTCCACTTTACAGCGGCACCGCCCTGGCCGGCTGCCTAGGTGCCGAGGGTGAGCGCAGGGGCTGGTAGGACTGTGTCTGCTGGAACCCAGACCCCCCCCCCTCCTCACCAGGGTAGGCTTGGCCTCCAGGCGTCTGTGCATCAGAATCAGAACCACTGACTTCACCCTCCGCTCAGGGCCAGTGGCTTCACTCCCTGGATGGGCAGCGGGCACTTCCTGGCGCGGGACCGCCTCCACTTCTGCGTGTGGTTGGGAGGTTGGGGTCTCTGGCCCTGGAGGCTCTTGGGAGGAGCACAGCTGCTGGGGCTTGTTCTGTGCACCGGGCTGGGCGCTTTCACTCTGCAGGGCGTCGCTCTGCAGCCTGTGTCAGGGGGCGCCTGAGGCAGAGCTTTCACCCCGAAGGGCAGGCGTTGCAGGCCCTCCTCAGAGCCGCTCTCTGGCACGGGGTGCGGCCCTTTCTCCTCCTGCTCCAGCGGTGTTTCTGCCCCGCACAGGTTTGTGTGGAAAAGCAAGAAGCCACTCTACCACTCACCCATCGACAGATCAGTGGTGTATAAGCGAAGGGGTAAGCTGCCTTTTCTCTCATTAATGCCTGGGTCCTGGCTGGGAAAGTGAGTGCGCGACATTCTTCTTGGGACCCCAGGGCCACATCACCCCTCCCCCCCCACGACCACATCTCGCCTCCCTCCTCCCCCCCACCGCAGGAAATCCCCCAGGAAGCTGATTCCCCAAATAGCAGAGGCTCCCGCCAAATCTAAACACTCTTCCTATGGCTTCCAGAACTCTGTGTGGAGAATTGCCTCAGGATGTCTTACTCATAAATGTGGTAAAACATACAGAATAAAATTTACCATCTCAGCCTTTTTAAGAAGTTCCCCTACACCCCTTACCCACTTTCAGTTTCCCCTAATGTTATTGACGATGCGTCTGTCATACTAAGAAACCAACATTGGTGCATTACTATCAAGTGAACTACAGATTTTATTGGAATTTAACATTAGTTTTATTTCTTTCCTTTTCCATTTCCAGAGATGGTGGTGAATCTACAAAAACAGTTTAGCACACTGGTTGACTCAATACCAACTGCTCCAAAAAACAGCCCTTCAAGTTTTCAGTTCAACTGGACTGAAGAAGTCACCGGAGGAACCTGTTTCCATGGACACAGCCTCCAGGGCATCCTGTACAAGAAAGGCCAGTCAGTGACGACCATGAACTCACTCTACTGGCTCAGTACACAGAAATTCTGTAAAAGGTGGGTGGGACTCGCGGAAGTAAAGGATCGAAAACACGATAAGATCTCTAATTTTCCCTGAAGGAGTATTTTTTTCTAATTAAAAAAGTCACATATAGCCCGGCCAGCGTGGCTCAGTGGTTGAGCATTGGCCTATGACCCAGGAGGTCATGGTTCGATTCCCGGTCAGGGCACATGCCTGAGTTGTGGGCTTGATCCCCAGTGTGGGGTGTGCAGGAGGCAGCCGATCAATGATTCTCTCTCATCATTGATGTTTCTATCTCTCTCTCCCTCTTCTTTCATCTCTTAAATCAATACATACATATATTTTAAAAAAACAATTTTTTTAAATAAAAATATTTTTTAAAAAACCATGTCCTTGGCTAAGGATTTAAAAAAAAATTGATTTCAGAGAGGAAGGGATAGGGAAAGAGAGAAACATCAATGATGAGAGAGAATCACTGATCAGCTGCCTCCTGCACGCCCCAAACCGGGGATCGAGCCCACAACCCAAGCATGTGCCCTGACCGGAAATAGAACTGTGACCTCCTGGTTCCTAGGTCAACGCTCAACCACTGAGCCAAACCAGCCGGGCTAAGAAATACATATATATATATATATTTTTTTTTTAAATATATATATATATATTATTGAATTTTTACAGAGAGGAAGGGAGAGGGATAGAGAGTTAGAAACATCGATGAGTAAGAAACATCCATCAGCTGCCTCCTGCACACCCCCTACTGGGGATGTGCCCTCAGCCAAGGTACATGCCCTTAACTGGAATCGAACCTGGGACCTTTCAGTCCGCAGGCCGATGCTCTATCCACTGAGCCAAACCGGTTAGGGCAAAATATATATTTTTAAAGCAAAGCCATAATACCATGACCAGACATAAAATAAACTAATAACAATTCCTTCATATTATCAAACATGCAGTCACTTTTAGATTTTCCCAATTGTTGTGTACTTTTTTAAATAACCCAGAATCCAAATGAGATCCATACGTTGCATGTAGCTGATATATCCCTTAAGGGGTTTAGCTGGTAAATTCCTCCTTTATCTCCTCTGGCCCCTTGCGTTTACTGGCTGAGTAATGCAGTCATGAGTTCTGCAGAACTTCCATATAGATGGTGTCACGGTCCCGTGTCCCTGGATCGCCCGCCTCGGGACAGAGGTAGAGATTGCGATTTGAATGAGAGATGTGGTGGTGGGTAGAGGTTTTATTAGATGCAGGGTCTGCTACTTTAGAATAAGTGGAGCTGCTGTGTAGACTCCTCCTGTGATACGCACAGGACTGGAGGCTCCCTCATCAAGTCTGTGCCTTAGTTTGAGTGGGAGTGGGGGAGTATTTGCTTTCTTTTGTTTGTTTTAAAAATGGGTCCAGAATCTCTCCCTTCTGCTTTGTTTACCTTGATCCTGGTAAGAAGCGGGGGATCCTGGGAAGGAGTGGCAGAGCCCCAACCAGGAGCAGGAAGAGCTGGCTCCAGCACCGCCGGTGTGTCCCTGGCGTGTGGCCGGGGGCAGGGCCACAGTTCTTCCCTTTGTAAAATTAAGGAGTTTTACCAAATTGTTCTAAGTTTCCTTTCAACTCAGATGACTATTTTAAGCCTAAACATATCTACTTGTTCAATTATTTGGGAGCTGTTCAGGGGGTAGAGGCATGCTTTCCAGGTGGCCATGGAAAGATAACATCTTCCTTTGCTTCCTTCCAGCTACTGTAAACATGTGACAACCTATGAAGAATCCAATTTCTCACTGACTTACCAGTTTATAATCAATCTCTTCTCCTTCCTGCTAAGAATAAAGACCTACTCCCTCCACGAAGAAGTGAGCTTAATTGAAAAGAGACTTTTTAAAAAAAAATACAGTACAGCAAAAACAAAATCTTCAAGATCCAGGAAAGTGAGAAAATGAGAAAAATAAAATAGAAACTTCCTAGGGAAAATATTTTAATAGTGACAATAATGTCAAATTGTAATGTAACATTCCAGAGAAGTGTGGAAAATAGAATTTTTTTGGCCTATATATCCATACATAGATATGCATACCTATAGTACATCTATGTGTCGATTGTGCTTATGAAGTGTATATAAATGAGCTTTAAGTTTATTTTTTTAATTAAAAATATTTTTGAGAAAATTAAAAAGCAATGTTACATAAATGGTATCCAGATATTTCTATTCATTGTATTTGAGAGCTAAATTTGCTTTTTAAGCTAGATCACTTCCTTACTCTCTATGTCCCAAAGGAAATCCCAGATGGATCAAAGGTCACAACATTCTCATCATTTATAAGTATTAGGAGAAAACAAGTCCAAAGGCTTTGGTGATCTTGGGACAGTGAAGGACTTTCTAAGCCTGAAAACCAGAGGCAGAAGGCAAGATTGATCATGTGACTACAGTCACAGGCAAGTGGGAAACTGGGAAGAGAAATTGGTAGCGTTTGAAGGAATGATTTCCTGAATGGATCAATAATCCTTTTAAAGCACTAGCGGTGTGACAGGCTGAGCAGGAGATAGGAAAAGATCGCCTTTTGAAAAAAGGTAACAGGAAGCCCAGCCTCTCGCCTGCTCCAGAGACACGCTACCTGACGGCCATGTCCTTCCAGGGCGGCTCAGGCGTACTCGCCACTAGACTTGCGATCTTTGCTGACTTGGGTGGAATCTCTTTTATGAACGAATCTCATCTATCTTTTTAAATTGAATTCCATGCCACTGCAGTGAAACCTAACTTTACCGCTGCGGTGAGATTGCACATGGTCTCAGACCCAGTAAGTATTGTAAGAGCGCGAAGGCAGAGGCTTCTGGGGCTGCGAACAGAAGGCAGAGATCCTTCGAGGGGAAGAGAGTCTTTACATGTTTCAGGTCTCTCAGTGGTTCGTCTCAGCTCAGAGCCATGCAAATATAGCAGATATGTGCAGGTATGTGCAGAAGTCGAGTTAAATGTCATCGTTTTAGTGGGCTTAGCATCAAATTTGGATCATCTGAACATCACGTGAAACAGTTATTACACACCTGTCTTGTACTGAATATTATATTTTCTTATTTAATATAACTAGAGAAATCTACCTACAACTGTAGCAATTAAAGGTTTAGGCACAGTAGGTTAAAACAAAAGCTTTTAAATTTTTTAATTAAAAAATTAAATCAGTGAATGTAAACGAGAGTCTATTCCCATGAGAATACAGAACATTGGCCCCAAAGCCTCATTAATCTACCGGGATATCTCATACATTTTGAACATAGTTTTGATGTGTGTGGGGTTTTTCCCTCATAATCCTTGAAAAAATAAAAAAGCGGGTTTCTTTAGGCAGTTTGAGAGTCTGTGTTCGACTTAAATGCACAGGGCGTGTCTTCTCCCTCCCGGCTCTGGCTCCTGGCCCATCAGGTCAGGCAGCAGGGTTACGGGGATGTAATGATGGCTAACAGGGCGCTGAGCCAGGGCACCTTATCTCACCGGAGGGGGTGGCAGGCCTGTCATTGCCGCACAGAAGGGGAGCCTTTTAACGCCCAAAGAAAGGAGGCGAGCCCAGGGCTGGGGGTGTCTACAGGTCTTTGTTATCTTTGGGTGTTTTTTTCTTCCATTGGCACAAAGCCACCTAAGAAGAAGGGAAAAAAGCCAGTATTAATCCGCCCTGCACATCTTTCCCCAGAAGGACGCTTTGCTTAGAGGAGGAGGAGCGCTCTTCCTGGGTCTCAGGAAGCCTGAGCAGACGCCCAGTGTGGCTGCGGAGAGTGTGAGCTGCTCTGTTCCGCAGGCATAGAAAGGGCGTGTGTGTCCTGGGTCGCAGCCGACTGCCTCCGTTTAGATGCCTCTGCGTTCCTGAGAGCTGAGTAAATCCACGCAGCATGAAGTCCTCACAGAATGTTTTCCAAGAAGCTCAGCTTCCGTTGCCCGTGTTGTGCCCTGTGAAGTGTTTAGGGCAAAGCGATGCCAGTGCCAGGCTTGCCCGCAATGCGCGGGCGTGAGGAGCCGGGAAGGGTTCCTTTATGGACTAGAGGTTCGGACCCGGTCTTGCAGCCGCGCGGCCCTCTCCCCCGGCAGCACTGTTTGCTTCTGGAACAACTCGTGCATGTTGGGTGATAGTTGTATTGAACTGGGTGACTCCCAGGTATTTCCAAAGGAATGTTTAAGTTAAAATATCACTTAAATGTAATTACCTTTGTCACCATTGCCATCCACAGTCATTCAGATCAAGGTAAACATTACCTACAATGAAAAAGGTGGTCTCTGAATTTTACAACTCTCAAGGTGAAAAGTAGAAAAACAATGTTTTTTTTACCATGTCAGAGGGTCAGGAAACATTATAAACCATGTTTACTTCTGTTTACCTTCCCCCTTAGCAATTCACACCAGAATGAAAGTCTCCCAGGGAAAGTCCTCTGCTTGGCCCAGCTGTGGGCAAACTACGGGCCAGCACCCTATCTGGCCAGTTTGAAATGAATAAAACTAAAAAAAAAAAAGACCGTACCCTTTTATGTAATGATGTTTACTTTGAATTTATATTAGTTCACACAAACACTCTATCCATGCTTTTGTTCCGGCCCTCCGGTCCAGTTTAAGAACCCATTGTGGCCCTCGAGTCAAAAAGTTTGCCCACCCCTGGCTTGGCCCCTCTGCAGTCCCCCTCCTGGGGCTGGGGGCAGGGCTGCCTCCCACTGCCCTGGGCTGTCAGTCCTGCCAAAGACAGTGCCCCCACCCACCCCTGTCCGGCCTCACCATCTACCCACAGTGTCTCCAGGGCCTGCGTCAGAGTCGGGCTGCTCCCCTCCCCTCCCCCCATAACACTGTGCCGGGCCCCTCCTCACCCAGGCTTGAGGATCAGAGTGGGTGTGGTGGCCTCAGACCACAGGGCACCCCACCTCCCAGCCCCAGGCAAGAGGGAGGGGCTGCGGGGTGGGGGGGGAGCATCTCCCTGCAATCTTCATTCCTCAGCACCCACCTCCTGTTTCCTGTGGATGACCTCCGACCTACATTTGTGTCTGTTTTCCCAACTCGCAGCAAGGCTTTGAGACTGGGGGCCGCCATCCAACCGAAGGTCAATGAATATCTTTGATGATAGCGATGACGATAAAAAGGGAGAATTTCATAAGGCTTCCTACTCATCAGTTGCTGCTGGGCAGTGAAGGAACTAACTTAATGAATGAACTCAGTTGTCTGCCTTCCAAATGGTGGTGGTGGATCAAACTGGAGCGCTTTCAAACTGGAGGGGAAAATGGGCATCACGCGTGGCCCTGCATGCCCACGGGCTCCCCAAATACCCGCCCAGCGCTTACGTCAGCGCCGTGCTGGTCTGTCATTTCACAGACAAGGAGCAGCCAGTCTGTGCCAGGCAGCCCCGCTCCAGCCTCTGGTGCCCACCGGCGTCCAGCCTCGGAGACCTCAGCCCCGGCCATGCCAGGCTGGAATGGGAGGACCCCAGTGCCACTCACTCCAAAGGAGGAAACATTAGCACCTATGGCTGGAGTATATCCTCGCCCCCCAAACCCCCACCCCAAACCTCTCATCACAGCACCGTGGCCCAACCACCCACCGCCAGCCCCTCCCTACCTGTCACCCCAGCAGCTCATCCGTCACTCACCTCCCAGGCAGCTCCAGCTCTGTAGACAGACACTGCCCAGCTCCGCCCTCAGCATGTGGCTCCTGTGGGCGGCAAGAGTGCTCTCCTTTCTAAGACTGTCATTCCTCTACCAGCCAATTTCCCCAAATAGATCTGCTAACACTGTGAGCCCCAAGTCCTACAGCCAATGGCTTGGCGGCCGGGGGGCGGGGGTCCATTAGATTGTCGCCTCCTTGCCCTGCTCCCCTGATCTCAGGCAAGGGGGCTCCCGAACAAGCCGCGCTGTGCTCTCTGTGGGAGATGGCCTCCCCTTCTAGGGAGCCCATATTCTCCGTGACCGGCTGGAACGCCGTCCCCTCCCCACCCCACCTCGCCCCGGGCAGAGCCGTGCTTCCCAAAGCACAAGGCACACACCGCCCTGGGGCCTGGCAATACGTGTGCGACGTCCTTGGCCTCCAGGTCAACAACGTGAGCGCTGGGCCGAGATTCAGTTGTGTACGTGCACCGAGGGCTGGGGTGGGGATTCGGAGGCTGGGAAACAGGAGACCTTAGGACCGAGACAGACGATATAGGCGACATTTCCCACACGGATCTGTAGCCATGAGGCTGGTTCATTGCACTTGCCCCCCGCAGCTCAGGCCCACGGGAGAGTGTGCGGGACAGCCGTGCGTTCAGCGAGGCGCCTTACGCTCGCTCTGCTTCCGAAGCTCGGACACGTGCTAAGCAGCATTTGCTGTGCGCTTTGCCTGGTCCCCCAGCTACATTTAACAGATTAACAGATCTCCAGCCTGGCCAGCCTGGCTCAGTGGTTGAGCATCGACCTATGAACTCTCTCCCTCTCCCTTCCTCTCTGAAATCAACAAAAAATATATTTTTTTAAAAAAGGTTTCCAGTCTCAGAGTTAGTGTCTCCACTGCTGATCCCACCGCGTGGCCCCAGAGCAGTCACTTGGGGCGTGACTGTGGGGCTGCCTTGAGGAGCTTTTAGTGAAAGGACGGAAGGATGCTCACCCGCCTCCCGCTTCCAGAGGATCCCAGCGGGACTCGTGCCCACGAGTGAGCAAGTGAGCGTTCCAGACCAGGCACCACCAGTCCCCGCCCTTCGCGGAAAGCCAGCCCACGTGGGAAAGCCGCTTCCCCTCCCTGTCCCTCCGCCGCAGAATCCTCCGGATTTGTCCCTGCCTCGAGTCTAACTGCCAGCTTTTCTCTGAACAGTGGTCACCAACAGGAGTAACTCGAAACATGCAAAAGCGAGTCCAAAAGCACTTGGATTTCAAGCAAAGGAAACCCAGCTGGCGAAGGATCGCTACAGTGAAATGTAGGTTCAGGGAGGGACTTAACCCTCGTCACTGGTTTCCCACCTACAAAGTGAGGGTAACATCTCAGCGATTTTAAATGGATATTATTTTCTTTTTAAAATACATTTTATTGATCTCAGGAAGGGAGAAGGAGAGAGAGAGAGAGAAACATCAATGATGAGAGAGAATCAAGGATCGGCTGCCTCCTGCACGTCCCACACTGGGGATGGAGCCCACAACCCGGGCATGTGCCCTGACTCAGAATCAAACCGTGACCTCCTGGTTCATAGGTCAACGCTCAACCACGGAGCCACGCCAGTTGGGCTCAAAGGGTTGTTTTAAGAATCCAGTGAGCTCAGGTATGCGACCACTTTGCACACTGAACACTGCGGAAGGAAGACATGTCATCACCATCCTGAATAACAGTTATCGATCCTCTATAATGTGCTTATGCCTGTGCCAGATTACGATCGATTTTTTTGAAGGAGATGCAGTTTCTGTCCCTCACTGTAAGAAGAAACAGGGCAGTGAAACATTTAATACTGATTGAGCCCCAGTAGGTCTGGCATTGTTTGACACACTTCATGAAACAAGAGAACTAACAACACTGTGGGTGACAGGAGTTCACCCCACAGTCCCCAGTTGAGGAAATGAGGCTCGGACGTTAAGTAGCTTCTTGAGTCAGAGCTGTGAGGAGGGTGGGGTGCCACACTCTCCCCTCCACACCCACGTCTCCCGAGTGGAGGCTTTCGGCTCACAACAGGCGCTGACAAGACAGCGAGAGACTCGCCGGCTCTGGTGAGCCGAGTGGGACGGACTCTCGGATGCCAGGCGTGCAGGCTCGCCATTGTGCCGCAGCCACTCAGGGGCCTCCGATGCCGCTGTTTCATCGGGCGAGGTCCCTGCAGGCAAGTGGCTGGTCAGGTTAGGATTCGGTCACATGGCCACCCGACAAGCACTCGGAGGAACTGGCCAGGGCTCCTGGCTCCTCCGAGGACGGAGGTCCCCTGTGGAGTGTCGCGGTGCCCCGCACTGTGACCCCGCCACTGCATCCTCTCAGTCAATGCCACGAAACGTGGCACTGGTTTCGTCGTCGTACAGATGACACTTTCAGGACTGGCAGAGAGGCATACGGCCTAACGTAAAAGCAGGCGGATCTGAGACTCGAATCCAGGTCTGATGGACCGCAAGTCACCCCAGAACTGAGTTCGCTGACAGGCAGAGCCCCTTGGGAAGAGTGGCTGAATATGGCGGGCTGGGCGCTGGAGGGCCACTCCCAGGGGATGGCAAGGGTTCCGGGAGGAGAAGGCATGGAGGTGGGCCTTGTGAGAAGACGCAGGAGTGGGGTGGGGAGGGGAGAGAGGGATGGCGTGGCCGCCGGGGCCTGAGATCGCAGGGTGTGCTCGGGGGAACACGGGGACGGGGCCCAGGGCACTGGGGGCTTCTGACTGGGACATACGTTTAGAAATATATGTTGGGGTCAAGTGGAGAAGGAAATAGATCACTTAAGAATATAATTTAAATAAAACACAGTGACTAAGAAAGGACAGGCTCCATGCTCTGTGATGTGTCCAGGCTGAGGGACAGAAACGGAACGGCAGGAGGGGGCGGTCAGAGGCGTCTGTGGTCCCAAGGGACCCGGAGCACCGGGACAGGAAGCTGCCGGGGGCAGATGAGCGGCGGCTGGAGCTGAATAAAGGCCCCGCGGCCTCCGTGTTGCTAAATCCTCATCTTACTTGACCCCTGGCGGCATGTGACCCGCCGGCCACACCGAGCTCCTGTCTCATTTCTTCTCTCGGCTCCCACTTCCTCCTGCTGCGGCGATTCCCCCTCCACCTCCTCCGCTGGGTCCCCCCCCGCCGGGTCCCCCCTCCACCCCCTCCTCCTCTCCAGCCTGCGTTGGAGGTGTTGGTCCTGCTTTCTTCCCGTTTGGCTGTGGAGACTCATCCCGTCGCAGGCTTCCTGCACCTTCTCTGCACTGATGCCTCCCGATGTCCACGCAGCCCAGACCTCTTCCCTGGATTCCAGATCAGTCAACTGTCTGCTGATACAGCCCCTGGGATTTCTAATAAAAAAAACTTTGAGCTTATACACAAAATGGAACCCCGACCTCCCAGACCCACGCCTGCAGCCGCCTCCATCTCGCTGACGGCCAAGCACCCCTGCTTCCAGCGGAACCCCTTGTCGGGTCCTGGACTCTCGTTTTCCTCACACCCCACACCGTTTGCAGGATGCCTTGTGGGTGCCGCCTTCAGCGTAGACCCAGAATCTGACCTAACCACCCCCCTTCACACCGTGGCTGGCGGTTTCCCTGTTCCCACCTTTGTCCTCCCACCACCCAGCAACCAGGTTATTTAAAGATATGAGCGAGCTCTAGCGGGTTTGCTCAGTGGATAGAGCGTCAGCCTGTGGACGTTAGGGTCCTGGGTTCGATTCCAGTCAGGAGCACGTGCCCAGGTTGTGGGCTCCATCCCCAATATGAGGTGTGCAGGAGGCAGTCGATCAATGATTCTCTCGTTGATGTTTCTATATCCCTACCTCTCTGATCAATAAAAATATATTTTTTTAAAAAGACATGAGACCACAGCACTGCCTGAATCCAAATCCTCCAACGCACCCCCACCTCTCAGCAAAAACCCAAGTCGTACAGAGGCCTACGCGCCCCTTTCCCGCTGCTCTGCCCCCTGCAGCCACGCTGGTCCCCGCTGTTCCTGCCCCACCTTCTGCAAAGCTGTGCCCCCCTGGACCCCCCCACACCTCCTTTAAGGCCTCCCTCCCTCAATCTAACCCGACTCCACCCTGCTCCTCAGCGGCCTGCTCCGCTGTCTGACCTCCCACTTTCTAACACACCATATAACTTATTATTATTGTTTTAAGGTCTGTCCCCGCGGGGAGGATGCTGGGAGAAGCACGGATGTTGCCCATTCGCTGGCTGACCCCCAGCATCTAGATCAGCGCCCGGCATACGGGCCTCACAGTAAACGTCCGTTGGATGAATGGGCAGCGCTCACCCGCAGGAAGGACAGCTGGGCCAGGGCAGGTGGGAATGAATGGAGGCAGGGGGTGAGGGTGAGCTGCACCAGGGCTGCCGGAGGGCGAGGGCAGGACGGACGGACGGAGCACTGGAGGGAGGGGCGCGCAGGGAGGGGAGCTGAGGCCCAGGCCCGAGGGCGCAGGGGGAGGCGGGCAGAGTTGGAAGCGGGAGCCCGCGGGGACCAGCAGCGAGGGGGGTCCAGGAGAGGGGAAGGGCAGGCGCGGTGCCGGGCGGCGCGGGGACCCTCCGGCCTCCCCCGAGGGGACCGGTTAGGAGGCCGTCGCCGTGCCCAGGGGCGGTCACGTGGGGGACACTGCGATGGGCGCGCAGGCGGCGGGGGCGCCGGGCGTGTGCGGGGCGGGCGAGGAGTCGCGGGGGCGCTCCCCGGGCGCACAGCCAGGGGCCTCCCGAACCGAGCGGTGAGGGGCGGGAGGTCGCGGCGCTCCCGGGACTCCAGGCGGGAAGGTGCCCGAGGCACCGAGCGGCGGGCTGCGGGGCGCCGTGGTGGGTGCGGCGGCCGGCGGGGAGGCTCCAGCACGCGGCGGCGGCGGGCGTGGGCGGCGGGCGGCGAAGGCAGAGCGCCCCGCGCCCGGGAAGGCGGCGCCCAGGCCCGGCCCGGCCCCCAGGTGGGCGGCCGAGGGCGCGCCGGGGCGCCGAGCGGCGACACAGCGCCCGGCCGCCCGGGGTGGGCGCGCGGAGGCCGACGAGGGGCCGCAGGTGCGCGCGAGGCGGGACGGACGGGAGGCCCCAGCGCGCCACCCCCTCGCGACTCAGCCCCGGCGCCCCAGTCCGGGCGCCCCGCGCTCCGGCCAATCAGGAGGCGCCGCCGGCCGCCAGGCTCCGAGGCCCCGCCCCGAGCCGCCGGCGCCAGCCAATGGGCGGCCGGGCCCGAGCTCCCAGTGCGCGCAGCCCGCGCGGACCCGCTCAGAGCGAGAAAAGCGAACCCAACCCGTCGGGGCTGCCGCTCCGGACCCGCCGCCGCTCCCCCCGGATCGGGTGCACCGTCCCAACCCGAAAGTCCAGTTCGGCGGCCCGCAGCGGCGAGCGAGCGCGATGACACAGGAGTACGACAAGTGAGTGCGCGCCGCCCGCCGCACCTGCCGCGAGGCCGGCGGAGCGAGGCCGGCGGGCGCGGCGCGGGGGTCGCGCGTCCGGTTGCCGGCTTTTCTCTCTGCCCCTCGGCGCCGTTGTTCCACCGAAGCCCCCTGGGGGGACCCTGGCCTGGGAGACGACTCCGTGGAGCCCCCTCCCCGCCCCCGCCTCAGCGTCCTCGTCGGGGGGGACCACCCACGGGCGCGCTCCCATCTCTGCTCCCGGGTGGCCCGGTGCGCGGAGGAGACTCCGGGCGCGCGGCATCGAGGGCTGCGGCTCTAACGCGCGCCCCGCGTCCCCACCGGGTGGCCCTCGGTTGCTTCTGCCCCATGGAGCCCGCGGAGCCCCTGGCGACGCAGGTGGAGCCTCCAGGTAACCCCGCCGCTCGCTCGCCGGGTCCGGGGCGGGCCCGGAGACTCCACCGCGAGACGCGGGGAAGCGGCGCCGCGGGTCCTGCGCTGTCCCCCTGCGAGTGCGGACACGGAGGTGGAGACGTGGGCGGCGGTTAAGGGCTCCCATTCAGTGCGCAGAACCCTCGGAATCGGGGGTGGGGGTGGGGGGTGGACGAAGGCGCCTGTCGGAGTTTGTGATCAAACAAGTATTTTGACAGCTTGAGGTGGTGGCATAAGAGCTTACGTTTAGGGGACACGGGGTGAGTTTTCTTGGCAGCTTTTCTGTAAATATAAAGTTGTTTCAAAATTTTAAAAAAAAATTTAATTTTTTTTAAAGTGCTGTGTTTCTGGGTGAGTAGGTTAGCTAATTAAGTGCGGAATATAGATCTTGAGTAGGTTCCTCTTTTGTAGGACTTGCATGTGGATATTCTGGGTTTTTCTGAATTATCTCTTAAGGGACGTATGGATGAGAGGACTCCCCCAGGGCAGTGATGAGCCCCAAGGACTAGCCATGGCGTGTCCTGTGAGAAAGGGGACCAAGGCGGCCGGGTTCATGGTTCTTTCTTAACATCTACGTTTGGATAAGGCAGATTTCCAAAGCCAGAATTTTTGCCTTGGGCACATTTTGGAAATGTGAGGCCCCGTCAGGGTGATCACACACACACAAGACCATTCGCAAACACCATTTCATTTTCTGTGGCTTCTACACATGTGGGCTGGGCGTGGGAGAAGGGAAGCTGAGAAACGAGCTCTATGGGAATGGAGCGTGCCAGGTGCCGGCATGATCTGTTGGAAGTGGCTATTAACACTGCTAATAACAGCTTAGCGCAGTGGTTCTCAACCTTGGCTGCACATTAGAGTCACCTGGGAATCTTTTTAAAATCCTGATTTCTGGGTCTCATCCTCCGGAAATTCTGTTTCTTTGTGATGGGGTGGGGCCACAACATGAGTAACAAAGAAACAGAATTTCCGGGGGATGAGGCCCAGAAATCAGGATTTTAAAAAGATTCCCAGGTGACTCTAATGGGCAGCCAAGGTTGAGAACCACTGGCCTAGCAGGAGCACCAGCAAAGTCGTCTCCGGGCACCGCTGGCTCCCTGGCTGGTGTGCTCTGTGCCGATGGCCCAGCGGATGCCCCCTCCGTACGCGGCTTTCTTCCCTCTCTCTCCGAAACAGCCCCTGGTGTTCGTTTTGTGTTAAAATAGTACACCACCGCGAGACTTCTTTTTCTACCAAATACAAGCGCCCATGACTTTATGCCCAGACATGAGCAAAAACATTGGCTTTGAAATAAGACCTAATTTCGACTGAGGATAAATTAAGTTGTTGGATTTCCCCCCACCCGCCCCTTTTCAAAGGTGTTTCCCTGTTTTAAAAATCTGTATCTGTTTTTAAAGGGCCTGGGTGGTTGCCAAGCCCTAACCTTTGTTGATGACTTGAAAAGATAATCAGTCGTTTCTGCATTCACTTTTAGAGTAGGTAGGTCACCTTTAGGCAATTTACATATTTCATTTGTGTGTTGCAATGAGACCTTAAATTTGCTTGTTAGAATAGTGATCGTTCAGAGTAGTTCTGAACACTTTAATTTTTTTTCCCTTAAATAAACAAAACAACACACTTCATTTGGCTGGAGTGAGTGTTCCACTTTTTCTCTTTATTGACTTACTAAATAGTGCCAACTGCACAGTTGTTGAGACTGTTTGCATTTCAAGTTTTTAAGTCAGTCATGTTTGCTTTAGTCTCTTAAATCAAATCTCCTATAAGAGTTTACTAAGACCTACGTTGATTTTCTCTGAATTCTTTCCCCACCAAACTACAGTGTTAAAATGAAACAGGTCTCGCCCCGAGTGGAAACCCGGTAAAGATTTTAAAAACCAGATTCCCCCTCCTGTTTTCTTAAAAACCTTTCTGTTCAGTGGCTTCATTTATTGTTGTAGATTCTTAAGCGTTTATCTCTAAGATAAACAGTTAACTCCCATGCCAGAAAATTATGCCTGCTTATTGATTTACAGCCCCCTTTGGGCACATTCCATGCTCAATCTTCGGGTAATCAGTAGAATATTTTCTCTCATATCCCCCGGAGGATTAAACGGAGTGGTGTCCCTTTTTCTTCCCGCCCCTTCCTCCTCTGTTTGGCGGTAGGAGAGTTTTTAAGGCATGGCCTCAGCAGGAGGAGGGAGTAACTAACATGTAGCAGCATGATGCCTGCACCGTACATGTCCTCCTTAAGAGGGTACAGCCTGATTGCGTTTCTGAACAGAATCAGCGCTCTGTTTTGCCTCGCTTGGTGTCCTTGGTTTTTGCTTCTCTGAAGTGTTTGAATAGCCTGGATTTCCTTGGAGGATCTCTTTTCCCTGCCACAGAGTATAGACGTCCTGGGTCCCACGTGTGGGTTAGCTGCAGCTTGCCTGGCTGCCCAAATACCTTCTATCTTCCTGGGTGACCTATCGGCCTGCAACTAAGTGGGCTGTCTTCTGGTCTTGTCACATATATATTATTGATTTCAGAGAGGAAGGGAGAGGGAGAGAGAGAGAGAAACATCAGTGAGAGAGAGTCATGGATCGGCTGCTCCTGCACGCCCCACGCCAGGGATCAAGCTTGCAACCCGGCATGTGCCCTGACCGGGATCAAACCGGGACCCCCTGGTTCCTAGGTCCACTCTCAACCACTGAGCCACGCCGGCCTGGCCGGGCTTCTGGTCTTGTCTTAATTTACTTAATCGGGTTATTAAAGAAACAATGGACTCTTTTATTGGGACATCAATGGATTGGTTGTTTGGTTCTTTAAAAGTTCGCTTATGGCGCCTTGCAGTAGAGATCTGTACATACGTTTGTTTTCTTAATGTCTCTGAAGCAAACGGCCGGTGTTGGTTCTTCAGAATGAGGCGCTGTACCCGCAGCGGCGCTCCTACACCAGCGAGGACGAGGCCTGGAAGTCCTTCCTGGAGAACCCGCTCACCGCAGCCACCAAGGCGATGATGAGCATCAACGGCGACGAGGACAGCGCGGCCGCCCTGGGCCTGCTCTATGACTACTACAAGGTGGGTGCGCCCCCTCACCCCCAACCGCAGCGCCGTGCGCCTGGCTCGGCGGCACCGAAAACAGTCATTTGCTGGGAGGATGTCGTGCAGGTTGCTTCTTAGTGACTATAAAGAGTTTAATGAGGGCTTTGAATTACTGCGGTTCAAAGCTGAGCCTCTCCGATCCTAGAACAAAGGGCTGTTTCCAGCCGGGAGGGTGGCCGGCCGTCCCGCGCTCTCTGAAGCGGAGGCCGCTGAAGGAAGATGGCGGGGGTCGCACTGGGACGGAACACTGACCGGGGGCTTCCTGTCAGCGGCAGCGTTCATTCCGACGTCATCGAAGTGGTTTCCTTTTCCCGAAATGGGTTATAGAAAGCCTTCGATGGGATTTGGTTTGGTTGTAGGACTCATGAAAAACAAGCAAACAACATTTTCTAGTCTTGGACTTCCTAGTCCTCAGATCAGGTTGTATTTTGTTTCCTGTTTCTAGAGGTTCGGAGGGGTCTTAATTAAGTAGAGTCTGTCCTCTGCCTAGAGTTTCATACGGTTTTATTTTATTTTTTATTATTTAAATATATTTGTATTGATTTCAGAGAGGAAGGGAGAGGGAGAGAGAGGTAGAAACATCAATGATGAGGGAGAATCATGGATCGGCTGCCTCCTGCATGCCCCACACTGGGGATCGAGCTGGCAACCTGGGCCTGTGCCCTGATCGAACCACGACCTCCTGGTTCATAGGTTGATGCTCAGCCCCTGAGCCACGCCCAGCCGGGCGACACCACTGCTCTGTATCACCCTCCTGTCCTAGCAGCTCTCGCTGCCACTCACCGATCCCCTGGGCTCTGCCGGTCGTGTTCACACTGTGTATGTTACTCTGAGGCCTCCAGAACCCCGGCAGCGTATGTGGCATTACCCCCAGTCTGCAGATGAGAAAACTGAAGCTCTCAGGTCACACCCTAGTGTGTGCTGCAGCCAGGATTCCAGGCCTGGGCTGGTTCGTGCCAGAGTGATCCTCTTCGGTATGCCGTGCCGTCTCCCGGGGGAGCGCTGTGCTTGCCGATTCACTTGGCCATTCTTCTTTCTGACCAATAGCAGATACTCGGGGGCAGCTACCGAGGACACTTGATTTTTGCCATCATTTTGTTTTGAAAACTACCAAACCCATAGAAAGCTTAAAATAACAGGGTCATTCGCTCCTTAATGCTTCACCTGGTTGACCAGTTGCCCGCCTTCTGTTACATTCTGGCTGTTTCCTTTCTCGAATACAAGAGATTCGGAGGGGAAAGCAAAGAAGATAGTGTGATTATCAAAGTTAGGGTGGGGCCTACACAAAGGATTTCATTACTTTCTGGTGTGAGGTCATGTGGTCAGCCTGTGTTTCAGGGAGTGAGGCCAGCATTTTTCTCTCTGACTGTGAATGGAACTTACGTAGTAACTAATGATGCTGGGAGAACCCTTGTCTGGGCAGCGTAGCCACGAAGGGTCGCCTTGAAGTGGAACTTATTATGTAATCTGCTCTTTTGATGGCTTGTTTTATTGACTCGGTCAGTGTAAAAGCCATAAGTTCCTACGTGCTAATTATGAAGTTTGAAGTTACATATTTATAACTGAAACTTCTGCGAGTGCCAGGAAGACTGATGCCATGATACTAGTGGCGGTGGCCGCGTGTGTGTGTGTGTGTGTGTGTGTGTGTGTGTGTGTTTTAAATAAAGAGTCCTAAGCGTATTTTACGTTCGAGGAGATAAACTTTTGTGTCTGCACATTAAGGGAGACCATCTTCGTAGTGCTCTGTGTCAAGCCGCTTTTGACAGGTGTAGGGCTCTTTGTTTTTAAATGAACTGACTTACCTGCTTCATTTTTTTAAGTGTCATTTTTACACAACAGCTTTGGTAAAGCTTTAAAAGCACATTATTAATACAGGAAACAATCCTTTTTTTCCTTCAAAGCTAAAGTAAGTTTCAAGCATCTTAGCCATGTTGGAGTGCACGTGGAGAGGAAGTCTCAGGTGGGTTGATGTCTGCAGTACTCCCAGTAACGTTTGCCCGCTTTCACCACCTATGCGAGAAGAGCAGGATCGAAAAAAGAATAGCCCTGGCCGGTTTGGCTCAGTGGATTGAGCGTCAGTCTGTGGACCAAAAGGTCCTGGGTTTGATTCTGGTCGAGGACACATACCTTGGTTGCAGGCTCCTCCCCGGCCCAGGCCCTGGTCAGGGCGCATGCAGGAGGCAACCAATCGATGTGTGTCTCTAGCATCGACGTTTCTCTCTGTCTTTCCCTCTCTCTTCCACTCTCCCTAAAAATCAATCGAAAAATATCCTCTGGTGAGGATTAATAACAACAGTAACAAAAAGAATAGAGCAAACTGGGTTTGATTTGTCCTCTGGGTAATGGACCATGATCATCCCAAAGTATCTAAGGAAACGATCACGCGAAGCCAGCCTTTGGCTCTTGGGAGGCACTACTAACGTGCCCGACCCCTTTGATTTGACATTCTATCTGAAAGGAAGAGCAGCAGTGAGAACGTTGAAAGCCCCGTGTGTTTTCAGTAGCTTCCCGTCCATTACATTATGTTGATCAGTGGATAAAACCAGGCCAGCGGTATTCCTTCTAAGAGGTGAACCCACACTCGGGCAGTAAACGTGTGACCCCTGAGTTTGTTGGGCAGCGAAGCAAGAGTTGGCTTTTCCGTATCCACCCGGTGAGCAATGGGAAGCTCTGGGGGGCAGACACTGCCCGTTCCTCCTTCCCCCGGAGCCTGGGGGTGGGGAGGCTGAAGGAGGCTGTGCCTACACTTCACGGAGTAAGGACTGAACTGTTGTCACGTGTGTCACTATCTCAGGTTCCAAGAGAGAGACGGTCATCCGCAGCCAAGGCCGACGGTGAGCACCCAGAGGCAGATCACAGCAAAAGGTAATGTCTGCTGGAGAGCACGAAGCGGTTCTCTTGAGAAATGCCGGCGTCTGTGGAAGCGAGACGCGCGTTTGTTAAATGAACAGGTGCAGGTGGAAGAGACGGGCGCGCTGGGCCCTGAATGTCTGCGTTCAGGTGTCCTCGCTGGCTCGCCTCTCACCAGGTGTGCTCCGCGCTCTGGAAGGTGCCAGCTCCTGTGGGGGGTGCCTTTCCTCCAAAGGAGCGTTTTTTGTACCAACACGAGTGTTTGCTTATTTGTCTTGGATGTTGTCTCAGAAGGATGTGGCTTACAGCAATACGGCGGCAGGGGGGGGGGGGGGGGCATTAAAAACATGGAGTACCAACGATCTTGAACAACTTAATAGTAAATTCTTAAAATAGTAAATTAAGCAAAACTTAATAGTAAATTCGACTGTATTTTAAACTCCTATTGAAGTTATTTTTAAAAATGTTTTAGGTTAAAACTTTCAGGAAATTAAATTAAGGCTTGATGTTGTAGCCATAAAAAATTTTTAAATGTACCTTTAAAATTGCCCTGTGTTTGCCCCAGCCGGTGTGGCTCAGTGGGTAGAGGGTTGGCCTGCATACTGAAGGGTCCCTGGTTCAATTCTGGTCAAAGGCACGTACCTCGGTTGCAGGCTCCATCCCCAGCCCTGGTTGGGGTATGTGTGGGAGGCAACCAATTGATGTTTCTCTCTCCCTGTTTCTCTCGCTCCCTTCCGCTCTCTCTAAAAATCAGTAGAAAAATATCCTCGGGTGAAGGTTAAAATTTTTAAAACATTAAAAATTGCCCTGTGTCCTATTAGTAATAAAGGAATAGAACATTTTTAGAGAAGGAATGCCCACTCAGAGCCCCACTGTGCTGACGGAGCCTGTTTACCCTTTGGTCTGCATGCGCATTTTATGTGGTCGTGATTGTAGTTACAGATCGCATTTGGTATAAGCATTCTTCTACTTAGTATTTTCCATGTTGCTGTTTTAATCTTCATAATTACCCCTTGGCAAAGGGCTTATGGCTTTTATTTTTACTTTTTATTATGGGAATTTTCAAACAGCAAAAGTAGAGAAATACTATAAACCCACACGTACCGTTATGTTGGAACAGTTACCAACATAATTCCTCTTGTTTAATCTACTCTTGTCTTCTTCAACTTTTTTTAAAATCATTTTTTTTATTTCAGAGAGAGGAAGAGAAACATCAGGGGGTGTATGCGAGGCAACCGATCGATGTTTCTCTCTTACATCGATGTGTTGTTTTTTCTCTCTCTCCCTCCCTTCCTCTCTGTCTCTAAAATCAATAAAAACATACCTACCTGGCCAGTGTGGCTCAGTGATTGAGCGTTGACCCAAGAACCAGGAGGTCAGGTTTTGATTCCCAGTCAGGGCACTTGCCTGGGTGGCAGGCTAGATCCCCAGTAGGAGGGTGCAGGAGGCAGCCAGTCAATGACTCTCTCATCATTGATATTTCTATCTCTATAGCCCTCTCCCTTCCTCTCTGAAATAAAAATATATATATTTAAAAACAAACAACAACATAAACATATCCTCAGGTGACGATTTTGAATGAATGAATGAATAAATAAGTAATAAAAGTTGTCCAAGTGCTGTATTCGCAGTGAAACAGGTTCTTCCCCTTACAGAAGCAGCATGCCGAACGTGACTGAGCAGCCCCTCATTTCTGCCGGAGAAAACAGAGTGCAGGTTCTGAAAAATGTGCCATTTAACATTGTCCTTCCCCATGGCAACCAACTGGGCATCGATAAGAGAGGCCATCTAACTGTTCCGGACACAACCGTCACCGTCTCCATAGCGACGATGCCTACCCACTCCATCAAGACAGAGACGCAGCCGCACGGCTTTGCTGTGGGGATCCCTCCGGCAGTGTACCATCCCGAGCCCACTGAGCGGGTGGTGGTTTTCGACCGGAACCTCAACACCGACCAGTTCAGCTCTGCGGCTCAGCCCCCAAATGCTCAGAGGCGAACGCCAGACTCGACTTTCTCAGAGACCTTCAAGGAGGGCGTGCAGGAGGTACCGCATCTTCCTGGGATGGCCCTGTGTTTGTATAAGTATCGGGTTCCACCTCTTCCTTGTTATGTAAGCCTGAAACTCAGCCTGAAGTGCATGGATTAGGAACAGAAGTGGTGGTTTTTTTTAAAAGAGAAAAGGCTCCTGGCTGTAATTTGTAAACTAAACCTATAAAACCAGGCATTATCATCAGGGGCAAATGGCTAATCTTACCAGCAGCTGAGTTAACAATTATGATTTCAGCTACGTGATTTGCTGGAGAAGGAGAAAGAGAAACCCCACACGCGGTTTTTCATCAACAACAGAGAGATCCCTAGTGTGTTTTCGGCTTTTGTCCTAGACCAGAACCAGCTCCCTGCAACTGGTCTTCGTGTAAAATGGGTTCTCGTGTATTTATTTGTTTGGTGGTTGCTGGGTTGGTAGTCTTGTCAGGGAGGCAGGTGGATCTGGATGGCAAGTGTGTTGTGTGAAATTTACAAATGAACTGCAAATACTTCTGAGGGTTGAGGGTGATGAACGTCGCGCTCAGGTAAAAGTTAGGCACTGAGGGTGTTTGGAACTGTGTTTAATGGTGGGGCAGGGAGTGGGGGCTGGGTGCCTCTGCTCATGGAGAGGGGAGTGGAGGAGGAACGCTCCTGAGAAAGTCCCCCAGCCTGTGTGAACTTGACGCCCTGTCTGAACTTGGTGCCACGCTGGCGCTGACTCCTAAGGGTCCTGAGACATGGGTTGCAGGTTCTTGAATTTGAACAGAACTAGGGTGTGTGGGGAAGACGGGAGGGGAATCAGTAGAACACTGTGGGTTACTTACATAGATGGTTTTAACTTAATTGGAGGGCATATAAAGTGGATATTTTTCTTTTTAATTTTCTCTTTTAAATTTTCATAGAGGTAAAACTTTGATTTTCAAGCGAATGTGGAACGAGTAGTGGGTTGCTGTAAGCCACAGGCTCTTACGCTGTCCCAGACGCTGGCCTCCGGGCAGCCTGGCACCGGGGTAAGAGCTGTGGCTCATCACCTTGCTATTTCAGGTTTTCTTCCCCTCGGACCTCAGTCTGCGGATGCCTGGCATGAACTCAGAGGACTATGTTTTTGACAGTGTTTCTGGGTAATAGTTGTCTTTTCATTTGGTTTTTAACTTTCAGCTTTTGTGACATTTCCTTTTTGATGATCTGATCTTGGAAAATCAGAGGTGGCTTTCGCGGGCTTTCTCCTGCGCTCCTGCAGTTCCGGGGCAGGAATGCCTTTCTCTGCTGAGGACGGTGCTTCGCGCTTTCTGTGGGGGGCGCGGGCTGCGGCCATGCCCCTCCTTCTCGGTGTCATGCTTCTCCTCCCTGGGTGTCCTCTGTGACGGTGGTCATGGTCGGTGGAGCTGAGAGGAGAGGGAGGGCTTCAGGTAGAGCTGAGGTGCCAGATCTGCTTCCAGAGGCGTCATTCGGGAGGATTTGGGAATGACACCAGGTGGCTAACGGCTTCCACGCTTTAATGAGCCTCACTCCGGAGAATGTAAATAAGCCAGCTTTTCCTGACCTGATGGCCTCTTTAATCTCATCACCGGGCATCTCACACTCGGAATATGGGTATTTCCCAAGTTAGTTATGAACATATATCAACATCTTCGGATTTTTCTGAAAGAGTTTAAGATTTCATTTTATAATTTTGCTTCATGTATTTTTTGTGTGTATATGTTTTGACGTTAAAAATTTTGTATTTAAAAGTCGAGGATTTTAAAAACATATTAAAGTCTAAGATTTGATGGGAATTGAGACTTCCCGTAAAGGCCTGCCTCAAGGGGCAGGAATCAGACTCACATGCCTCCAGGGTCCAGGCCAGGGGTGGGCCGGTCTGCTCTGCAGGATCAGATAGCGCTCCAGGCTCTCCGTGCGGCCCTGTCCCTGTCGTGAGGCCCGGCTCTGCTGCTGCAGCACAAAAGCAGCTGCCGATGACTCGAACCCGAGGGCGTGGCTGTCTTCCATCCATTTTACCTCTTACTTACAAAAACAGGTTTACTTTATTCATAAAAACGGGTGTAATTTGCCAGCCCCAGACCTAGATAGGTGATGAGACAACTGCAGGGGCCCTGGGGATGGTGCTCGAAGGTAACAGGAAATGCAGGGCACGGGGAGTGCCCGTCTGAGGGCCTTAATGGCAGCAAGAACAGCCAGAAGTGCTGTGCAGAGCAAAGCGAATGCGGTCGGGGCGCTGCCGGCCACCTGCTGGCCCCTCTGATGGCGACGACCAGCCTGGCGGCCTGTCCCTCGAGGCTTCCTTCCGGAGTCCTTTTCACGTATGAGCGTCTGGAATATTCTCCGCCTCCAGCTTCCCCCTGTGAGCATCACTCTGGCATTTCCACAGGCCCCTGTAGTCCCCCGTGGGTGAAACTTGAGGCTTTCTTGTTGCTCAGATTAGATTTACCAGGGGAAAAGCGGCCACTGCTCTGGGTCAGAGGGCGTGGTCAGCTGGCCGTGTCCGGGGGCCTGCTGTTTCCCACACCCGCCCGCAGCGCTTCGAGGCTGAGCTAAAGCGTGGGGGGCGCTTCCGAGGGAGCGGTCCGAGACCTGCGGCTTTCTCTGCTTCAGGAACAACTTCGAGTACACCCTGGAAGCCTCCAAATCGCTTCGCCAGAAGCCGGGAGACAGCACCATGACCTACCTGAACAAAGGCCAGTTCTACCCCGTCACCCTGAAGGAAGTGAGCAGCAACGAGGGGATCCACCACCCCATCAGCAAAGTGCGGGTGAGTCCCCGGGCAAGCTCTCGGCGCTCACCGTTGCCAGGTCTGGGGCGGGTCCAGATCTCAATCACCCCACCCTCCCCCTCCACCGTTGCCTTCCGTTAAAATGCGTTCTCTCTCCTAGAGTGTGATCATGGTGGTGTTTGCGGAGGACAAGAGCAGGGAGGATCAGCTGCGGCACTGGAAGTACTGGCACTCCCGGCAGCACACGGCCAAACAAAGGTGCATTGACATCGGTACGTAGCTCGGAGCCGCGCTTGTTCCCCAGGCGCAGCAGCCAGCGCTCCCGTCCAGTTATTGTTGGCAGCGATCAGCTTCCTGCCGAAAGCATTTGAATGTGTGTGCCAGCGACTGACCTGTTCCAGAACTGTCCTCGGCCTCCTGGAATCTGCTCTTCACGTTGCTTCCTTCTTGGGGACCTGTGCCCCTGCAGCTTTCCGTGTGGCGCCGGGCCAGGCGCTGCAGAGCCGCTCACCCCGGTGTCCGCTTTTCCATCTGCAGGCTTCCGGAAGGGCACTGCTTGACGGGATTCTGACCTTCTGGAGTGATAGTAAGGGAGAGGGAAAAGCAGTCACCCCGCGAAAGACCATGCTGCTGGCGGGCCGCTCCCTGGCAGGCTCCCACCTGCCGCTGGGCTGCACGCTGGGCTCCTGTCTGCGCACAGACCCAGAGTGGCCTCGCCGGGCAGAGCAGCGGCGCCACGTCCGTCGTGCAGTCGCTTTGCGAAAACCCCATTCCTGCCGCGTGTCACATTTTCATGTAGAGCTATTGTCGTATGACGGTCCCTCACCTTAGCATTACTCCTGTCCTCCGCCTCTGGTGATGATCATGGTCTCTCTCAAAGGAATTGGAGGAACTGCGTCCTCCCCTTGGCTCTCTGGAGTCGTGTTGTGACCTCGGGACAACGGTTTACCCATTTGCAGGCCTGTCTGGCCTCCTTTTACATAACGAGATGCCATTAGAGATATCTAAGCTTGCCTCTGTTACAGAGATGATTTTTCTTCGTGTTTTAAACTCTTTCAGCTCAACAAAATGTTAATTTAAGGTGCCCAGGGGTGACCATGTGAAACACTGGCTGTCACTGTGACCTGCGATCATGTCCCGTTGGACTGAGAAGTCACAGCTGCCTTTTCTGTTTGTCCCTCGTAGCCGACTACAAAGAAAGCTTCAACACCATCAGCAACATTGAGGAGATCGCGTATAACGCCATTTCTTTCACCTGGGACATCAACGACGAGGCGAAGGTAGGCCGTGCAGCCGGGACCGGTGCTGCCGCCCCTGGGGGTGGGGTGGGAGGGGCTTAATGATCTGACAGCTGACGTTTTCACAGTTCTGCGTGTTTTTGTTTCTTTTTAAAAAATATATTGGTTTTTAGAGAAAGAGAGAGAAACATCGATGGGTTGTTCCACTTATTTATGCATTTATGGGTTGGTTCTTGTAAGTGCCCCCAACCAGGGATCGAACCTGCAGCCTTGGCCTATCGGGATGACGCTCCAACCACTGAGCCACCCGTCCAGGGCCCACATGTGTTCATGTCTTTGCTGAGGAGTCGGGAGACCAGCTCGGCCAAGAGGCAGGCAGAACCGTAAGGGTGAAGCGCGTGGAAACGGGCCGGGCCTCGGGGAGAAGAGCAGCTGTTACTGCGCAGCCTGTGCTTTCTGCCCCGGACCCACGCCCGCTGGGCGTCCCATTTTCTCTCTCACGATTTCACGTTTTCTGGAAGTACAGCTCTTTCCCAGACGCTATGGAACTCCCTTCTCCCTTTTCTATCCTCTCCTTCCTCCAACCCAGTTTGTCAACCCACTTCCCAGGAGTGCGGTGTGTGCGCCCCCAGAGCGGGGCCAGCGCAGAGATGGGGGCTGCCACCTGCGGGCGGCCTGCGACCGCCTCCCCTTCACTGTGCTGCGTTCCCTCGTTTGCCAGCGGACAGCACGCATCTCCTCCCTCCTTCCGGGCCGGGCGGGTTGCGGAGCGAGGCCGAGGCTGAGGCTGGTGGTGCGTCTTCAGAAAGGCCCCTGATACACGTATCGGTGGCAGTGGTTGGTTCCCTTGTCACCTTTGAAGACCGTCGTTGAAGAGTCACTTAAGCGTCATCACAGGCTTTTACAAGTGAAGGGGCGCCCCCAGTTCAGAGGGTCATGTGGATAATGGGAATTTCTAGTGCCTTTTAAGAAAAAGTCAGCATATTCTTAGGTCATTTCTGCCTTTCCTTGCAGTAGGACTTCCTCTCTTCACTAAACGATTAGAGTTCTGGTATTTATTTCATTCATTTAAGTACATTGTATTAGATGCTAACCTACTGCGGAGTTTTACTTTTCACTGCCTACCAGGGGTGGGCAAACTTTTTGACTCGAGGGCCACAATGGGTTCTTAAACTGGACCGGAGGGCTGGAACAAAAGCATGGATAGAGTGTTTGTGTGAACTAATATAAATTCAAAGTAAACATCATTACATAAAAGGGTACGGTCTTTTTTTTCAATAGTTTTATTCATTTCAAACAGGCCGGATCCGGCCCGCGGGCCGTAGTTTGCCCACGGCTGCCCTAGGGTTTCTTCTAAAAAATCCCACGGCTGGATTTGAGAACCTTGTGAAGTTGTGAGTAATCGCCTTCCTTCCTTCCTGTGGCGTCGGTCGAAGGCAGATGTGTCTTTAAGATTGCGGATGTGACCAGTCGCTGCTGGGACCACCTCGGTCCTGCACACACGTGTTGCTGGGACCACCTCGGTCCTGCACACGCTTGTTGCTGGGACCACCTCGGTCCTGCACATGCGTCCTCAGGCTGCTCAGTCCAAAGCCTGGTTTGGCGTTGAATTCACTGCAGAGGAGCTGTGAGGGGGAAGAGTAAACTTTCCATCTCCTATAATTGTTGTTGAAGTCATTTTGAAATTAAATATAATAGGACTGTGCTGGCTCCTAACAGCCTTTAAGAGAAGGGCTGGTCCAGGGCCCTCCGGGAACTTCTGTTCTTACTGAAAACTAGAGCAATACAGCCATGTAGGGACCAACTGAGAAGCTGGAGGAGCTGAGGAAGCACGCCGGTCCGAGGTCACGGTTCGGACTTGTGACCTTGAGTTAGCCCTCTGGTCCACCAGCTTCCTTTCCTCCCCTTTGGCCCAGGAACGTAAAGGGGCTCGGGGGCCGCTCCCGTCCCATCCCGTGGAAGGTGGTCGGGACTGACCCACTTGTCAGTGCGGCTGGCGCTGGGCGGGTGCTGTTTGTTGGCTGTGTCACTCAGGGAGGAGGCAGGAAAGAGGGTGACAGGTGGGGACAATGGCTCCTTTTGTTTGGAAGCCTTCGTGTTTGTATTGAAGGGAGACACTGTTGGAGGCGGGCCCTCAGTGGCCTTAATCACACTGTTAATTGGCGTAGCAGACCCCCAGCGCTGACTGACAGGGAGGGGAGGTGCCGTTTCTTAATGAGGCCGCTGCCCTTTGAAGCTGGTGTCGGGCATGCCTGTCAGGGAGGCCTGGGTTTCTGGCCAGGCTGATGTTTTCTGTTTTTACACTTAAAGTAATTGGTGCCTTAGGGTGATCGAGTGCGCACATGGACGTGCAGAATCCTGTAGGGTTGTTTTTACTTCTTTTTCTGAAAGTATCCGCTCTCTTGTTCTAATTTAGGATCCGCGTGTTGATTCTCAACTCCAGGTTAGTCTCCCCCCACAAACACGAGGGTTTATTGGAGATGGTGGCGTTCCCCCTCCCGCTCCCACGGTTATATAAAGGGAACTGAGGATGAGGAAAACCAGAATTCTGGTCCCGCGATGACACGGTCCCCCCTGCCGCTTCTGCTCACGACAGGTTGAGTCTTGAACCCTGGGCTTCCGCTCTGATGTGGGGAAAGTGCTCTCAAGGCTAGACTCCTACTGCCCCGTACACCTCCATCAGCGTAATCAGACCTCCGTTACCATGGAAACCTGAAGCGCGACCGGCCCGTGTAAAACATCGCTCGTTTTCAGGGTGCTGGGGGGGAGGACGTTGAGAACGGCAGAAGGATTTTGGAAACGGTCCCGGGAGCACTGACCCCCACTGGGTAGCCTGCTTCTCTGTGTGTTCATGCTTCTGTGCTCCACGCAGAGTGGGTCTGTTTGGGTCGTCAGGCATCTCCTGGAGTCAGGCACCTCTGGACAAGTTGCCGGTGGTCAGACACTCGCCTTTCATTGTGAAATAGCTTAATCGGTGTCGGCCTCCTGTGTGTGCGGCGAGATCAGCTGCTGCAGGGGAGCTGGGCAGGAAGAAGCAGCTCCGTTTGAGACCGTGAAAGATGGCACTCCGGTGCCACCACCAGAATCTGTGAGGGAGGAGGGCACGGCCACCGAGGGAGGAGGGGCTGCATGAAGGAGGCTGGGAGGAAGCTGAGCCTCCACGGGACTCCCGTAGAGGGAGAGCCCGCTGTGCACCTGCCCCGTGGGCAGGAACGCAGAGCCTCGTCCAGCAGGTCTCTGAGTGCCTGCTCTGTCCAAGCATTGTGGCAGGTCCCGGCGGAAACACTGGCGCTGTGTTCAGTGTATGCGGGTTAAACAGGCGTTTGTGGGCTAGCCTGAGACCCTCCATGCAACATCCTGGTTTCTAAGGAAAGTGTGCTTCTGTACCACCGTACAAATGCACGTCGGAGACACATAATTTATAAATCGGCTTCTTTGTTCTGCTCATTGTGGTCGTTCCAAAACCCAGTGAGAAATTCAGGAAAGGCCGCACCTCTGGGCTGGGGATTTGACCCTGAGTTCATAACAGGGTTGAGGTTTGGTTAGCGAAGGGCCTCCCCAAAGCCTCGGGATCTGAAATAAATAGAGGAGCCCGGCCGCGTGGCTCAGTGGTTGAGCATCGACCTATGAACCAGGAGGTCACGGTTTGATTCCTGGTCAGGGCACAGGCCCGGGTTGTAGGTTCAATCCCCAGTATGAGGCGTGCAGGAGGCAGCCGGTCAATGATTCTCTCTCATCCATGTTTTTCTCTCTCTCCCTCTCCCTTCTTCTTTGAAATCAATAAAAATAGTTAGGATTTAAGCTAAATCGAGGAAAAAACAGTTACTGAGAGAGCACGAACTCCTTTGGCTGGCTGTTTCGTGTGGGCGCTGTGGTGGGCACCTCATCTGTGCTCACACTTAGAGGGCAGTCCCCCTGCTCAGCGCCCACAGAAGCGCTTGGGTCTGCAGGTGGGAGCGTGTCGCTGTGTGGTCATCGGAATGCGGCCACCCGGGGAGGCGGGGCCTGGGCCTCGCATGGAGAGACAGTGCCTGACGGGAGAATGTTTAAGGCTCAGGCTTCTCCCCAGCGGAGCAGCCCTGAGGGGCGCAGGGAAGCCCTCGGGGAGAGCACCCTGCTACGAGAAGGCGCGTTCCGTGGTGGCGGATGAGTGTCGTTCAGCCACGGAGGAGTGGGAATTAGAGACCAAAGCACAGTTGTGTGGAATCGAGTGAGAGCTGGCAGCCACATCGGAGGGAGCCTGTCCCCCTCCCCCCGGCGGCACTGGCGGGGTGGGGTGGGAGCATGCCTGACCTCAGTTCACCAGCTGGGCGGCCGACAGGGAAGCCGCCGCCGCTCACAGCAGAGCTCCGTCTCTCTCTGGTCCACGGGCAGCATGACCTCCACGAGGATTAAGCAGACCTTTTATTTTATTTATATATTTTTTATTGATTTTTTACAGAGAGGAAGGAAGAGGGATAGAGAGTTAGAAACATCGATGAGAGAGAAACATGGATCAGCTGCCTCCTGCACGCCCCCTACTGGGGGTGTGCCCTCAACCAAGGTACATGCCCTTGATGGAATCGAACCCAGGACCCTGCAGTCCGCAGGCCGACGCTCTATCCACTGAGCCAAACCGGTTACGGCTAGCAGACCTTTTAAAGATGTGCTGACCCCTAGGATATAACTACCCCATGGCTTCCCCATAGAGACGGCTAAGTCCTTAGGCTAGAACAGGGGTGGGCAAACTTTTTGACTCGAGGGCCACAATGGGTTCTTAAACTGGACCGGAGGCTGGAACAAAAGCATGGATGGAGTGTTTGTGTGAACGAATATAAACTCAAAGTGAACATCATTACATAAAAGGGTACGGTCTTTTTTTTTTTTTTTTTTTTTTTAGTTTTATTCATTTCAAACCTGGCCCGTGGGCCGTAGTTTGCCCACGGCTTGGCTAGAACGCTGACCACTGTGCACTGCCCACTGCCGTCCACACAGCTCGTTCATACATTATAGCGCCTGCTGGCTCCCACGCCGTCTGTCCGCCCGCCCATCCGTCCGCCCGT